CGGGTCCCGGAACCTTGGCGCTCGGCTTCCGGGCCCGGCCGGGCCGAGTGCGCCGCTGCGCCGGTCCCCCTGGAGTCAGTGCCAACCGTCAGGCAGGCGGGAGCCGCGAGCGAGGCGGCCCGGGCTCGGCGCCATGTACGCCGTGTACAAGCAGGCGCACCCGCCCACCGGCCTCGAGTTCTCCATGTACTGCAACTTCTTCAGCAACAGCGAGCGCAACCTCGTGGTGGCCGGGACCTCGCAGCTCTACGTGTACCGCCTCAACCGCGACGCCGAGGTGGGCCCGCGCCCCTTCGCCCTCCCGCCGCTCCGTGAGGCGGGCGCTCTTGTCCCCAGTGGCAGGTGGAGAAGGCGAGGCCCCATCGGAGGAGCCAGCCTCGGGTCCGAGTCTGGCGTCCCGGAGCCGGTTCTCGTAGCTGCTCCGTCGTTCTGCCTCCCTTCTCCCCCCCGGGGGCTGCTCCCTCCCTGCGTCTCGCTCTTCCGAGTTCTCGGCGCCTCGCTGTGCTGCTGTGTGCCAGGCAGGGGCACGACGGTGAACCGAACGCCCACCGGGACGCACGCGTCAGCACGCGTGCGGACTGCAGCAGGTGCCGCCGGGGCGCGGAGGCGGCGGCGTGTCCGGTCGGTGCTGGGGAGCCGTCCTGAGGCGGAGCGGGAGTTTGTCAGGGGAAGAACGTGCCTAGCGAGAACAACGGGGACAGGGGCGCTCGCGCGGGGACAGACTGTTGGCAGGAGTTTTAGTGAAGTGGGTCTGACCCATCAATAGAGAGTGCAGGGACGAGAGTTGGTCCGGGATGGCTTCTTGCAAGAAAGGCTCAGCCGTTCTTGAAGTAGGTGTGACACTTAGCTAGGCCCGGGGATGGGGAGGGGAGGGTGTTCCAGGCAGAGGAGCAGCCTGAGCACAGGCCAGACGCAGTTGAGGCTAGGGAGGGCACGCACAGTGTGGCCGCAGTGTGGAGTGGAGGTGGTGTGGGTGGCCAGGACTGTTCTCCACAATGCAGGAAGGAGCCACTGGAGGGTTTTGAGTAGGAGCTGATGTAGCAGCAAATGACTCAAAGGGGCAGGCCTGAGAAGGCCAGCCTTGGACATCTACCCCAGCACATGTGTGTGTGTTTGTGCATTAAGGATGCGCACCACTGTACCAACACATACTTGACATTAAAAAAAAAAAAAGCTTTTGTGGTATAGAAATTTTGAGGTCAGTATGCGGCTTTAATGTAAAATTTGTAGTCAAAACTGAAAAAGAGTTGTTGCAAATAAATATACAAAGCTCCACATCAAATGAGAGCTTTTTTTTTTTGCGGCTGGCTGGAGCACGGATTGAACCCTGGATCTTGGTCCTATCTGCACCGCACTATAACCAACTGAGCTAACCGGTTAGCTAATGAGACATCTTTGACTATATTTTAAAATTGTTCTTTCAATCTCATCTTTGAGAGATTCCAACATTTTCTTAACTTTAGTGAAGTTTTTTCTTCCCC